AGGAGGGAAGCCGTCTCCATGGGTGACGGGAAAGCATGGAGCCGGCTTTCTGACCAATCAGAAAGCTGGTTGCCGCTTCATTACACGATGCCCGGCTTCCTGATTTGCTGGGAAGCCGGCTCCATGTTCCCTCGTCATGATAGAGCATGGAGCCGGCTTTCCGGCCAATTAGGAAGCTGGGCAGCTTGTAATGACTTGCTGCCCGGCTTCCTGATACCGGAAGCCTAAGTATCAGGCTTGGTGTCGGAGCATTTGGGCGAGTAAAAGTTCTCGCCCAAATACTCGGCATCAGCACCGATACCGATACTAGTATCGGTATCGGTGCATCCCTAATAAGCATATTAAACTTCAGCTAAAATATATCTTTTCAATAGGTGTGCGGGGTAGGACTACTGACCCATTGCTGACCATCTAACTGGAAAGTCTCAACCCGTCTTTCAATTTTGTCTGCTGCCACAGCTTTATTGGCAAAGTTTAAATTGCTATTGTTAGATGGTCCCTGTTTTACGCTTCCTGTAGGTTTAAATCAGTTTGATGTCCGTATGGAACTTGTAGTTAGGCCATTAATTATCACTATGGTGTGCTAATTGGGTGCTCATAATTTTCTTATTTAAAAAAATTGTGATTTTATTGGATGTTTTAATTGCTGTTTAACCCAATAAAGCCGTGGGCGTGCCCTTCTGACATTAGAGAAGAACTCCAGGGAACGATTTATTAACCTTTGCAGTGGGCTTCCCCTGCACTGCAAGTGTTAAGTGGTCTAGGGAGGAAAATAAACAAAATGATATTCACCCAATTTTGGATTGGCCCCTGAAGCCTCACTTTCCCCTTCGCTGCAGCGGTCTAAGGTCCGTGAGTCATCAGGTTCTATATACAGTGTATAGAATGTGAGGACACCGAGGGACTTTCTATCACTACAGCGGAGGAGGAGAGGCTGGAGGGAGCGCTGTCACAGTCCACCGGCTCATCCCTAGACTAAAACGAGCAGTTAATCCTTGTAGTGCGGGGGTAGCCCCACTGCAAGGGTTAATAAAAAATGTCCCCAGAGTTCTGCTTTGCATAGCGTTGTGTAGTAATAGGGACAAGGACCAACCTTTGGGATATGGGTTGGAGTGTGCCAATGTTTTTTTTTTTCATTTTAACAGAAACACATTGGGGGCGGGGGCGGTAGTTAATGCAAATTTTGGCAAATCCCAGGTAGCCAATGCAGCTTAAAAATTGCAGCTGCCGCCTAACTTTTGGGGTTATCTGTAGTAAATTGGGCTGGCTCCTGGATAGGACACAGTGGCTACTGAATAAAAATGTTAGTAACCCTAGCACAGGGGCTACTCCCCCCGCACTGCAAGGGTTAAGTGCTCGTTTTTGCCAAGGGTCAAAAATAACAAAGTGATACTCATTCAAACCTCCGAGCCGGCTGACTGTGATACCGGTCCCTCCAGCCTGTAGCAAAGGTATGTCCCTTGGCATCCTCACGTCCTATACTCTGTGCAGAGAACGTGATGATCCAGGGACTTTTGCAGTGGAGGGGGAGAGAGGATCCAGTCTAAAAACAAGCTGGCTCTGAGGATCAGCTAAGTATATCAACACGAGCAGTTAACCCTTGCAGTGGGTGGCAGCGAGCACTAGGCAGTGTAAATAGGTCAGATAGGTCAGGGGTGAACAAATTAGGCCTCATTCACAGGAGAAATGGCTGGCACGTGCAGCTCCGTGCTGCGTGCACGGCCGTATCGGGCCGCTCCCGGGAAGGACAGGGGCTGCGTGTGATTAGTGCACAGCAGCCTGTCCTTCTCTATGGGATTAAGCGGCCGTACGCTCACCTGAACTGCACGTCCATACAGGTGCAGGTTTCCCTGCTTGGACACAGACAGGCTCAATCCTGTCAGCGTACTAGTAAGGACACCCGCACCCGCACGATTGCACAGGGCGGGTGAGCATAGGGCGGCGTACGGCCGCATACTCCCATAGAGAAGGACAGGTTGCAGCGGGCAATCACACGCAGCACCTGTCCTCCCCGGGAGTGGCCCGATACGGCCGTGCACGCAGCACAGATCTGTAGGCGCCGGCCGTTTCTTGTGTGAATGATTCCTTAATATGGAATTCAGTAGCCAATCTGTCCAATCCAGGAGCCAGCTCCATTGGCATCAACTACAGAAAACCTCAGAGGTTTGGTGCCAGCTGTCATGTTAAAGAGCAATGGCGACCTGGCTCCTGGGATTTGTCCAGCCTTGAACTAGGCCCTTAGACTTTGAACACCTTTTGTTTGGATGCACCGGAAAAACTGTATATCTAGCCGATGTAACTGTACAGCGGTCTGTAGTCCTGTACGGTTCTCCATTACTTGAAGTCTCGTTATTAAATCTGGAAATCACCAACAGAGGCCGATGATGATACATAACCCTAATAAGCATGGAGCGTATGTAAATCTATGCAGCTGACATATTACAAAGCAGCTTCTTAATTAAAAGTTTTGCAGGCTGTATATCACCATGAAATGTTCTCCTCATATATTTCTGTATACATTATATATTATTATAAAGTGCAGGACCATAAACCAGTTTTATTGTCTGCATAGATGTCCTGGGTGTTATCACTCGTCCTATGAAACCACAACGTAGAAAACAGAAGTACATCAGTTATATAAAGCCTGGGGACAGTTGTGTGATGACAGATCATAAAAAGCTGATCATTACTTACAATTACAAGAAAAACATTCTTCTGCTGATAGATAAAAAGAATCCTCAACAGATCTGAGGAAGGTAAGAACATATCCTCCTCTTAGAATTGTAAGAAGTAATAACACCGAGTGAATGATATTCACCTGATATGGCTTTATTAAAAAGCACACATTTTAAAGAGGAACTCCAGGCAAATAAAGAACATACCTTTGTTGTGGGGCAGTGTTGTCACGCGGGTGACACCATTGGAGTGGTGACACCAAATAACTGACAGTTATTTTGGTGTCATCCCGTTTGAAAAGTCGGGCATTCGCTCGTAGACCTGAGAGCCCCAAAGTTTCAGGAGAGAGGAGGGGACCCAGCAGCATACCTTATCCAGCCAGGTGAACGTCCCCTCCTCTCTCTACCAGCAACCATCACCAAGATGGCCGCCGGCAGGTATCAATAAGATGACCACGCATGCACAATGACATCATCGCGCACGTGCGTGGTGACGTCACGCACAAGCGCAATGTCATCACAGTGGGGTGTCATCCGGTATGCGCTCCGGGTGACACCCGGTCTCCGGACGCCCCTGTTGTGGGGCCACCCCAGCACTTCAGGGGTTAAGTGCTCATTTTGTTTAGGGGGCTAAAATAAAGTTGTATTATTACAGTGCTGGCAATATACACAGCAACATTCACATCAGTCCCTGCCCCCAAGGAGCTTACAATGTAAGGTCCCTATCTCACAGACATACATAGAAGGCCAATTTAAGACAGGAGCCAGTTAACCTTCCAGCGTGTCTTTGGAGTGTGGGAGGAAACAGGAGTACCCGGATGAAACCAACACAGCATAGGGAGAACATGCAAACTCCTTGCAGGTAGTGATCTGGACAGAATTCGAACCAGGGACTCCCATTGCTACAAGACATAAGAGCTAACCACTACGCCACTGTGCTACTCACATGGTCCTCAGTCCCGCCGGCTGCCTTCAGGCTGCTAGACTGTTCCCCACAAACTCTTCTCCCCTGGGCTCCAGCAGTCTAAGGGCTGCTGACGTCATCATGTCTCATACAGGTCCATTGACCTTTAGGCCTCATTCGCACGAGAATTGGCCCGCAGGTACAGCTCCGTGCTGCGTGCACGGCCGTATCGAGCAGCTCCCGGGAAGGACAGGTGCTGCATGTGATTGTATGCAGCAGCCTGTACTTCTCTATAGGAGTACGCGGCCGTACTCCGTCCTACGCTCACCCGCCCTGCACGTCCGTGCGGGTGTCCGTACTCGTACGCTGAGAGGTGAGCGTAGGGGGGCGTACGGCCGCGTACTCCCATAGGGAAGGACAGGGGCTGCGTACTAATCAAATGCAGCACCTGTCCTTCTGGGAGCAGCCCGATACGGCCGTGCACGTAGCACAGAGCTGTACGTGCCGGCCAATTCTAGTGTGAATGAGGCCTTGTTAGACCTGAGGACGACAAGGGACATTCCATAGGAGAAAGATGAGCGCTGAATGCTGCGGGACCGAGTATCAGGTGAGTGATACAACTTTATTTGAGCCCCCTAGAGAAAATGAGCACTTAACCCTTGTAGTGCATGGGTAGCCCCAACTGTATGGGTATGCTTTTTCTTTACCTGGAGTTCTTTAAAGGAAATTGTTGAATAAATGTGATGGTATCACTGTGTGCTTCTCTGTGCTTCTCTATGCAATGCAGGCAGATCAGTACATAGCTTCCGGGAAAATATCACAGCACCCTGCTTCAGTACGCCTTTCAGGAGCCCTTAGCCCTAATGCAAGCAGTGGGCTGTGTCTTGGGAGCAGTTATACAAATATCAAAATGCCTTGATAGGTGTATGTCAGTCTGGAGGAGTGGGCATTTGAATGCAGACTACCCTAGGCCCTAGACCACCTTGATGGGTGGATTTCAGTTTGAAGAAATGGGAGTTCCTAGGCAGAATGCATTTGTATGCAGATCATTCTAGGTAACACCTACATGTCATGCTAATCCTTCTCCATGAACTGCAAACCAATTAATGAAAGGGGTGAGCAGTGGCGTCACACGGGTGGTGCAGCCCGCACCCGGGGGACACTATTGCAGAGGTGACACCAAAATGACTGTCATATTGATGTCACCCCCTCTAAAAAGTCGGGTACTCGGTCATGGACCGAGAGCCTGACAGTGTCAGGAAAGAGGAAGGGACCAGACGGCATACCTCATCCCGCCGGGTGAACGTCCCCTCCTCTCTCTGCCGGCGTCCATCACCAAGATGGCCGCCGGCAGGCGTCAATCAGATGGCCGCGCATGCGCAATGACATCATCGCGTGGTGACAACACGGTGGGGTGTCACCCGGTCTCAGGACGCCCCTGGGGGTGAGCCAGGGGCAATCAGGCTGGGGAGGAAAGCACTAGATGATGCTAGGGGTCCTCCAGCCAGGAAATGAGGCGGGCTATATTTGAGTTATTGCGGCTTCTAATGCACATTGTGAAAAGCTTGCAGTGTGCAGTGACATTAAAGGAAGCAATCTCAGTCCAGGAGAGGAGCCGGTACAACTGTGCAAGATTGAAGTCAAGGCTGGAGTTCAGCTCTGAACAATTCATAACCAAACACAATCACAATACCTAACAGATTATTACGGTATGTCAAGTGTTCTGTTTTTACAAAACATGAAAACATGACCAGCCCAAGAAAACTACATTCCAGTCCCAAATAACTATGTCCATGTCCCCAGCCCAGGAACACACGGCCAGCTCTGCCATTCCTATATATCATTGCTGCTGCCATAGAGCTATGTGACTCTACAGCCAACCACATGCACATGACATGTCATGGTAATCACAATCCAACAATGAAAACAATGGGGATTCCGGCCATCCCTCCTATTTCTGGTAATAAAAAACATCTAATCATTGCTCGGTGCCGATCTCACAAATCGATCGTCTTCCCCTGCTCAATAGCCTGTGTGTTTTGGAAACAATGCACCGAATATCTTTTCAGCTTCATAGCACAAGACGGATGAGACAAAGGCAGCAGCAGGACTGCAGCAAGGACCTTGGCCAGCCATGGTGGCAGATACTGGAAATGTCAATGATACAGGTCAGATGTCGGACTCCATCATCAGTCTGCATAAAGCAATCAAGACCCCCCCCCCCTTTTTCCCTCCTTCCTATTACCTCCCAGACCCAGGACCACTGAGGAATGCACGGACACATGGATTAGTATAGGGGAGGAAAAAAGGGGGCTTTGTGTGAAAACTGGAAGGAGGGATTATTTTGGAAGCAATAAAGTGAGAGAAGAGAGAACTGCGGCAGCAGAGAGACCTGGCTGGGCTGGTGATGATGAAGAGTATGGGAGTTGTAGTCTTCCTGCTATAGACTCTGAGCTCATATTTATTAATACTAAATTGTGACTTTATTATATTGTTATTGATGGCGAGTTGTGATATAGAAACATGTTCCTTCTCATTGACTGTACATACATTGTATCCATTGTTTGTTATTTACCTTGTTCTCTTTGTTTTGTATTTATGTTAACCTCGTATTCACTTCCCACTGGTGTGACGCACCTATGTGTCAGCATGGCGGGTGGGATTTAACCCTGGCGGTAGGCATGTGGTGTCACCAAGCGCAGACGTCATGATGTTACATGAATGACGTCCTGCGCGCTTTACTTCCGGTGGCCATCTTGGTGATGAACACCAGCAAAGAGAGGGGGGGACATTCTTCTGGTAGGATAAAGTATGCCACCGGGTACCCTACTCTCCCTCGTGCAGTTGTTGGACTCTTTGTCCATGACCGAGTAACCGACTTTTCAGGTGCCAGTCATTTTGGTGTCACCCCCTCTGATGGTGTCACCCGGTGCAGGCCGTACCCCCACCCCACACCCCACTTGTGACGCCACTGCATATATGCTGTTCGGTGCTGCGATTAAAGCAGATATACTCACCTGATCCTCGCTCCCCCTGGGCTGCTAGACTGGTCCCCATAGCCTCTTCTCCCCCCGGCCTCCATCCATTTAAGGACCGTTGACATCATCATGTCTAATGCAGATCCATTGACTTGCATTAGACGTGAGGACCCGAGGGGTATTCCACAGCCAAAGCGGAGAAGAGAGGTGAGTGCCAACTGCCACAGGACCCAGAATCAGGTGGATATATCTGCATTATTTACCCCCCCAGACAAGATGAACACTTAACAATTCAGGGGTAGCCCCAATGCAAGGGTAAGTTTTTTAAATTCCAGATGTTCTTCTTTAAAGGGCTGAAAGGGGTTAAAGGAAGTTATTGACCCGTGACGGATCTTGGACAGTACAGCTATATCTATACAGGGGTCCAGAACCAGAAGTGAGGTTGGCTATTAGGAAATATGTAAGATTATTACAGCTGGACTCTAAGCAGGCACACATTAATACAGATCAGTAATCATTAATACTAGGGATGCACCGATACTAGTATCGGAATCAGTGCCAATGCCGAGTATTTGGGCGAGTACTTGTACTCGCCCAAAATGCTCCAATGCCTAGCCCGATACTTCCTGTATCAGGAAGCTGGGCAGCGCGTCATTACACACGGCCCGGTGGCGAGTCTTTACACGCCGCCCGGTTTCCCAGCTAATCAGGAAGCCAGGTGGCGAGGCATTACAGGCCGCCTGGCTTCCTTAATGGGACTTCCGGAAATAAAATATCGGTTCTCGTAATCGATCCCGGAATACTGGTATCAGTGCATACCTAATTGATACATCATTAAATGTATTTATTTAGGTTCAAACCAGGTAAGTGAGCTCTTACGGGCAGGACCCTCCTTACCATCTTGTCTTGAATTGCATTGTATCTGTAATATTCCTTGTATTGTAAAGCGCTGTGCAATCTGTTGGTGCTATATAAACCCTGAATAATAATAATAATAATAATAATAATAATACTCATTTGACATGGCTTCAGCCTCTTGCAGTCTCTGTACAGCACAGCTGGAGTGTGAAAGGATGAAGAAATACAAGGAGCCAATCAGTTCATGTGCTGACAGGAAGAGAAAGCAGAATGGCAGAGAGATGAGCTCATCACTGTGATGCTTCTCCTTTCACTGCCCAGTCACAGACTAGGATGGTTCCAGGATGACCTGGGCTCAGAAGAGGTGGATAGAATTATACTGCCCATCAGACTGGGAACATCTAGTGGCAGAAAATAATACTGGATGGGAAATCTCTATCTCTAATATTGCAGCATAAGCTGCTTTTGTTAGTTTATCTCTTATTGGACTATTGATTTTATCTTGTTATTTTTGGCTGGAGTTCTGATTTACACTTGCTCTTTCTACCTTTCCACAATTTGTATTTTTGATACTATAGGTTTGATAGGAGTTAAGAAAAATATACCATGTCTATGGGGGTATTTATATTGCAGAGCTGTTCACTCTGCGAACATCGGTGTAAGTGTAGCCACACCACAATATGGCCACTAGATGGCGCTGGGGAGCATAGGAAATGGCTATGCTCAGCGGCTCCATCTAGTGGCCATAATGTGAATCTACAACACGGGCATTCAAAGAGTGAACAGCTCTGCGAACATTTTATAAATACACCCCTATGTGCTTGTGATTAAGCGACCTATGCCCTTCAAATGGAAATGTTTTCAAATACTTATGGTCACTTGTCACTGTTAGATGTGCCCATTGTCGGGCAGATCTCTTGCTATAAGCACAGAAGGATTTACTTGCCCGTACTATAGGCATGGAGCTGTCACAGCAGTTTTTCTATACAGGTCAGAGGACGTTGGACTGCAACACACATGTGGAGAAGAGATCAGAGGAAGCACCCTGAACTGGTCACAGAAATAGCCCAACCTTCACATGCTGGTTATTTCCATAGTATCTCTATATTGCCGGTGTCATCAGGCCTGACATGGACTATTCTACCCCAACATCATGACATACGTGAGCCTTGCAGTACCCGGATGGCGTGTGCTTTAATGCTGAAACAATGCCAAGCATTCTGAAGTGACAAATGATGAAAACAATAACTAATTAGGAAGGAATAAATAGACGCCAATTCACCCATCTGCTGAAGACTCCTTGTCAATGTACACCAAATCCAACCCGACCAAACCCATACCATGTGACGTACGAGTGATCTGATTGTACCAACAGCTGTAGTGCCAGGGTCTGCCCGATTGGATGCAGAGTGATTGGCTGGTTTAGGTAGGTCCCCATATTTAAAGGTAAGTCCCCTTTCCCAGGTGTATCCGTGAAAATTGAATTACCCCCCGGCTCCTACCCCTTAGCCGGTATGGGTGTACTATCCATACTCTGTACTGTCGTCTACCACTCTGGATTTTTAACTTTTGCTTGAGCACTCATTGGTCACCGCAATCATCTGACCGTACCGGCCGTTGAGAAGCACTTCTGACCGCGTTGACCAATGAGCACTCACCATTTGCAAGCAAAATTCAAAATGCATGCACTGCACAGGACTATGGGTTATGGATGGTACACCGACACCGGAGGAAGGGAAGGAGCGTTCACCGAAAGGTAAGTATAGTGGGGGTGGAGAGGGGGCCAGACTGGAGGGGATAATTCCACTGTCCCAGATTCACCTGGCAAAGTGGACTTACCCTTTAAAGTTCATTGTACACAGACTGCAAGGTCACATTGTAACGTGTACGGTTACACTAAAGCATCAGTGGGTGGCCCGTCTGCCGCCTTCTGCCCCCGACATTCTTCAATTGAAACAAATCAAAGGAACGGGGCGAAAAATTGTGAGCCAAACAGCGCTGCATCCAATCAGATGTCAACACTATCCAGGTATTTTGACAGCTGGTGGGCCCGCTGTAAAAATACAATAGCCGCAGCAGGAGATGCGTCCATCCACACTGGACCCTGGCTGCATCCTGAAAGTCAAACAAAAAAATCTCCTGGTGTATACACAGCTTAGTCTCCATTCACACATGTGCGTCCGCAGTTTCATGCATCTTTGCTGAACATTTTTAATGCATAATGCCTTTTTCTTTTGACCAATGAAGGAGAAATAAATGATAGGTAGCTAGGGGGTGGGGCTTGCTGTGCTAAAATAAAACAAAAATGTGCCATAGCCATTGTATCCATTCACGCCTATGGGGTCAAAAACGCACCTTTCCAAAGACCGCACTGCATCATGCTGCACAGGTGTGAACGGGCACCCTAGAGCCTATTGGGATTTCCTTTGTCGTGCATTGTAGTACAACGGTAGACCTGCGACAAAGCGCATGAACGCCGGCTGAGGGTTCCTTCTCGGCATTTAAACTGATTGATCGCTCCTTTATCATGAAGGCAATTAGTCCCAAAAGTCTTCCAGAACGCCGGCTGATTTCCGTCCCTGGTGAGTGAACCTCGCTCCGACACTAAACTTGTATCAGTCCACTGAATGCGTCTCACACTTCTCTGTTTATTTCTGAAATCTTTCATTTACAACTTTTAAAAGGGTTACAAAGGAAGAAGGAATGACGTGAAATGCTGAGGTCATGGCGCATTCGCAGTGTGGACTCCCCAGCAAGATTCGCATTGGGCGCAGCGCGCAGATTGAGATATAAGATATATCACATATCGTTCTGTTCAGTTCTATAAAATGATTGTTAATAATTGGCGTTGATATAAAAAATAATCTCCCTGTACTAGCGGATTCAATCTGCGCCTACAGCACATGGAGGGGGAACACTGCCACTGGCGCAGTTGCTATGTGCAATCGCCGGTCTCGCAATAGGCACCCGGTTGTTTTAAAACCGGCCTTTGCTCCATTTCTGCCATAATGGTTATTTTTCCAATCCACAGCTTGAATTCCAGATTCTGATAGTCACGAGATGACAGTCACACAGTCTGTTCTGACCATGTCCATGTGAATGAGCCCCAATATTCCTGCCTGATCTGATTGCATTGTAGCAATGTGTATACATGACTGGCAGGCAGTCAGAGCTAATGACTGTCATCTCATCCCTATCATCCCTATGGTCACCTTTGGTCCCCTGCTGCAAGCATCAGCCTGCATTGTCCTTGCACAGCCCAGAGGCTGGTACATAGAAGAAGAGGATTGTACTCACCGGTCGGATGGGGTGAGCTGCAGAGAAGTCCTTGGCTGGGTTGTGGAGCTGTCAGTGCTCTCCCTGTGCCCGGCTCGCTGTGTAATCTCCGTCCTCCTCCTCCTCCTCCTGCTTAGACCAGCTGAGCTCAGCCACTCACAGCCCCCTGGATACTGTATGCTTCTAATCAGATGCTGGCAGCCGACTAAGCCAGGAATGTGCTATGATGTTACTGCTGCTTAGCCTGGCTACTCCCCCACGGTGAACGTGTCCGCTCTCCTCCACTGTTAACCATTCATAGGCGGCAGCAGAGCGTGCAGACCGGAGAGCTCAGCCCATCTCATATGTGTACAGGGACCCGGGCGGCATCCAGCCCCGCCCCCTTCTCCGAGGAGGATTGGCTGACCTCCCGACTTGTTACATCGACTGGGAGCAGCAGCATGTCTCCACAGCTATAGATGTCGATGGCTACATTACGTATATATATGGCTATAATAAAAACAACCAATGGCTACAATAGACACAGCCGATGGCTACAATAGACACAGCTGATGGCTACAATACGTATATATATGGCTATGATAAATACAGCTGATGGCTACAATACATATCTATGGGTGCCATCAATTTATATATGACTACAATAAATACAGTCAATAGCTACAAGAGATAGAGCCGATGGCTACAATACATACGGCTGATGACTATAATAAATACAGCCAATGGCTACAATACATGAATACAACTATAATAAATACAGCCGACGGCTACAGTACATCCTTGATTGAAAGAACTGAATCCAATCAATGAAAGGGACAGGTCAGGGACAGGTCAGGGACAGATGTTGCTGGACTTCCCTCAGCCAGGAAATGAGGTGGGCTCTTCAACTTGCTTTAGCTTCTAATGAACACTGTGGGAAACTCAATCATTTTAATACAAGACAGGAGCCTGTACAATGGTGCAAGACTGAAGGGAAGGCCGGAGTTCTGCTTTAAAGATTCTGATTGCACAGTTCAGATGTCAGAAGTCACATGACACAGGTTGCTTAGTAAATGTTTCAGCTCATCCAATCACTGTTTCTTTTATTTGAATCCAATATGTATGACTGGACCTTATGTGACTACATGCACATCAAGATTTCTCTACAATTTGGTTTGGCTTAAAATCCAACCAGGAGGTTTTTTTAAATGTCCCCCAGAAGCAATAGAAGCAAGTAGCTCTGGCCGCAATACTTACCCGTCCCCTGCAGTACCTCTTCACCACCACAAGATGTCCTTAGTCATTTGGGTTAAATGATGCTCAGCACCATTCAGCCTAAAATACTGAGGACATCCTGTGAGTGCAGGGTGTCCTGGACCCACCCCTAAGGGGGCAGAACCATGTTGCCCTACATTCACAGTGGATGCAGAGAGCAATGTGACATTATACATCAGTGATTGTACATCACTGAGGGCTGCACATCACTGGAGAAGACCCAAAGAGGGCCCAGTGCTTCATGTGACCAGCCTGAGGACATGGTACAGGTAAGTAAAAAAAAGTAAGCAAAAAGGGCCACCAAGGGGCAGGACTGAGTGGTGGCGGGAAGAGCCTGGAGTTGGGTTCTAAGGCTGAAAATATGCATATGCATAACACACGTCACGGGTTGCCTGAAGCTGGACGTGATGCCGGCCAAAGCATCGTCCATGTGCTAAGAGCTCTTATCAACTCTGGCAGGAAAGAAGGCGGCAGGCACACCAACCACCCCCCATGTGACCCAAAGAGATGCCGCCTGAGGCAGACACCTCAGGCTGCCTCATTATAGGGACGGTCTTGTATGCAGCATATCAATTTTGAAGGGCACCCATTACATATGCATGGTATCGGAGCAGGCATGTTGTTTTGTGTGTTGAAACTCATTAAGGACCCAATCAAACTAAATGGGATGCCATAATCTACACCCCGCCAGCGAGGTGTACTTTCAGACATGTTAACTTATAATGTCAGTCTAGCTCCCCTGATTAACAGTTCAGTTCAGGGGGGACACTGCTGGAGCACGACTCATCCTATATCCGCAGGGGGAGTGAGTGCTCCGGCGAGGACGGGAGCAGGATGGAGGGTTAGGAGAGGCAGATCCTGGTGGTGGGAGACTCCATCATCAGGCAGACTGACAGGGTAATCTGTCATAGGAACCGTGATCGTCGAACAGTGTGCTGCCTGCCGGGGCTCGTGTTCGACACCATTGTTAAGGGACCGTAATATACAGGGGTACAGGTAATATACAGGGGTACAGATACTCCTAGAATGAGATCCTAATAGGTTGGACTTGATGGACTAATGTCTTTATTCAACCTCAAATACTATGTAACTATGTAACAGTAACCCTCAATGGCTGCAGCGTTTGGGAATGCCTGAGGCTGAAGTCTTCCTTCAGGGTTCAGGTGGTGGTCTGAATCTTAGTGGTCTTGAGCCAGGGACGTAGCTATCATGAGGCGAGTGAGGCACTCGCCTCAGGCACAGCTGAGAGGGGGCGCAGCCAGGGCCGGCCTGGCTGCTCCCAGGGCCGGTGCTAGACTATTTTGCACCCTAGGCAAGACCAGCTACTTACACCCCCTAGCCCCCCTCCCGCGGCGCAACCCCCAATCCCACCTCCCCTGCTGGCTAGCTTCCCCATTCTCCTGCTGGCTAGCTTCCGCAGGGGACAGGTAGATGTAAGCAGCTGATGACTCCAGTGTTTGTAAATATCCGGGGACACATAGTACTATGTGTCCCGAGTTATCAATGAAAAGGAAATGCTTTACATCACATCTTGTTCATTCATTGTTTCTGAATGGGGAGTAGCACTCACTACAGAGGCTCCTCCCCTTTCAGAAACTGGATGATAGTAAATAGTTTGTGAATGAATGAGAAGCCTCTGTACTGAGAGCTTTCCATTCACTTAGAACAGAAGCTGCAGGAAAAGAGATTGAGGACTCTATGTCCTCAATCTCTTTCTATTTTAAAAGGGAAATATCAGGGGGCTGTTTAGACCCCTAATATTTCTCAGAAAGCATCTGACAGTAAAAAAAAAAAAAAATACAAAATAAATACAAAATAATAAAAAAAAAAAACACATCCTGGAGGCGGGTGCATGACGTCACATGGCGCCGTGCGTGTGCAGTGTCGGGTGATGTCACACAATTTTTTGTTCTTGCCTTTGGCGCAAAAGGAGCTAGCTATGACTCTGTCTTAGGCGGTGTGGCAGCAGATCAGGACACTATAAGGCAGTGGTTCTCAACCTTTCTAGGGCCTGGACCCCTTGGTAACATTTGCCAAGTTGTGGTGACCCCCAACGGTAAAATTTAGGAACGACGCGGCTGCTGCAGCGACATCTAGCGGGAGAACTGACACTGCTGCTCTAGGTGAGGGCTGAAATCACACAGCGACCCACAAGTTGAGAACCACTGGTGTACGCCGTCAGAATGAAAAAACAAAAAAAACACCCTAGGAATGCATAGCTAGATTCCTATTGGCTATTTCACTTTGCAATAGCCAATAGCAAACTAGCTAGTGCACCCGCCCTCTGCTGCTGTCAATCAGTAGTGGGGGCCTTATGGAGAACTTCAGGTCCCCCTCTGCTCCTGCTATTAGAGCCGCTATCTAATAGCAGGAGACTCCCGGGCGACCCCTGGCAAATCGTCATTCGACCCCCGAAGGGGTCCCGACCCACAGGTTGAGAACCGCTGCTATAGGGGAAGGGCCAAGACCACACAGGCAGCCTTCTTGTCAAGGGGGCAACCCCCGCACGGCAAGGGTTAACCGCTCGTTTTGGTCTAGGGAGACAAATAACAAGTTATTCTCACCTGATGCTCCGAGCCGACTGGCTGTCACAGCGCTCCCTCCAGCCTGTCTCCTCCTCTGCTGCAGTGATGTCCCTCAATGTCCTCACATCTTATGCACCGTGCATAGAACGCAATGACACAGGGACCTTTGACCACTGCAGTGGGGAAGGGGGATGGAAGAGAGGCTGGAAGGACCAGTCTAGGAGCAAGCCATCCGTGAGGATCAAGTGAGTATAACCCTTTCCTCCCTGGACACAAGCGTGCAGTTAACCTATGCAGTATGGGGGTAGCCACACTGCAAGGGATAATGAAAATTTTGGCTGGAGGTCTTTTTTAAGTTCACCTTATTTGTATTTACCCATATTCATTCCACAGCCCCCGCCATCAACCTACTTACCAGAATGCTTGTCCCTGCATTTTTTTTTTTTTTCATTTTGATACGGCATGTCTGTCAATGGCTCCACCCACACAGCTGCATAATTCACTCACAGATCTATTCACAGGATCTGTAAATTTAAACAAACTACAAGTCCCAACTACCACTGCAACAGAGAGAATTGTAGTTCCCCATGGAGTACAAGCATGGCGACATCACTGTACTTGTGCTCAATTAAAAGAGAAGTATAGGGAGAGTGAATTGTACCCTTCCCTATAATTAGAGCCGGCATGTGTCACTGCTGCTGTCACATGCTGGCTCTATAGATTGAGAGCTGAGCGATCACAAACCGCTCATGGTCTTCTTTCTGCAGAGAGCAGTGACTGTCAATCACCCCTTCCCCAAAGGGACCCCCCCCTCCCCCACTAGATGCTGACTTTGGGTCACAGGAGGACATTAGTAAACGTATTCCTTTGACCCAAAATAGAATGAACTCCATAAAAAAGTTTTAGCTTTAATTCTCTTTTAATTACTTCCTCCAGTTACATACCCAACGGTCTCTACCTTGCTACGGACCTGGAGCAAGGGGGGGTAGTCTGCAGGAGCCTGTGCATAGCTCCTGCGATCCACTAATCACGGTTGCAATGCTTTGTGGGCTCCCTTGCAAACAATTAATAAATGCAAAAGCTGCAATATGACTATAATAATAATAATCATAATAATATAATATTATAATAAAAGTAATAATTATAAAAATGTTAAAAAAAGTTATTCTTTAATGAAACAGGATTGGCCAGATATCCGGAGTTTTGTATTCTAGTACAGGCCCTCCTCTGTATAATACAATTTCCTGAATGCCACCCAGCAGCATACAAATAGATTGTACACATTATTAGATATTCCAT